GGGGCTGGGGGCGTGGTCGGGGTGGAGCCCCGCCTAGAATCCCCAGTGAGGGGCTGGGGGCGTGGTCAGGGTGGAGCCCCGCCTAGAATCCCCAGGGAGGGTCTGGGGGCGTGGTCAGGGTGGAGCCCCTGCCTGGAATCCCGGGTGAGGGGCTGGGGGCGTGGTTGGGGTGGAGCCCCTGCCTGGAACCTCCTAGGGAGGAGCGGAGGGTGGAGTGTCTACCTAGCATGCAGGAAGTCCCAGGTCCATACCCAGATTAGTAATAATAATAATAATAACAACAACAACAACAACAACAACTTACAAATTGTCCGTGAGGATGAGGACACCGCTGAGGGGAGGGGATGTAAAATGGCGATAACCCTTGGAAAACAGTTTGAAATTTCGAAAGCTAACGGAAGATCTCCATGGCCCCCAGGCATCTCCCACCTAGGTACACTCAAGTAGAAAACACAGATTCACAGATTCCGATGTGTGTAGGCAGTTTTAATTGAATTATTCACAGGAGCCATAGGATGGACGCAACCTTCCATCAGTGGGAGGATAAAAAGATGAGATGTGCTCCACATGTATAGAGGAATATTACTCAGCCTGGAAGAGGGACGTCATTCAGACACCTGCTCCACCATGGATAGAAGTCCAATACACGATATTCAGCGACATGAGCCAGGCACAGAAGGAGACTCCTGGCAGGGTCCCCCTCCCAGGAGTTCCCGGCATTAATCAGAGCCACAGAGACAGAAATGGGGTGGTGGGCGCCGGGGGCTGGGGAGAGGATGAAGTCAGTGCTCGGAGCTTCAGAGCGCAGAGGTGAAAGGTTGGGGATTCAGAAAGGATCCGGGCTCAGCTTGGAACGGGGAGCATAGAGGTTAAAAGATTAGCTCGGAAGAGGGCGCCGCCAGAGCTGGGAGCTGCAGGCCGTGAAATCTCGGCCGCTTGGAAGGTCTCACCTCCTGGGTCCCGGTCCCGGGTCAGGGCTGCGGCGATTCCCGCCTCCCAGCAGGAGGCGCACTCGGCACGCGTCCCGGAGCTCTGGGCACCAGAGTGGGCGGGGCCTGCACGCGGAGGAGGGGTCTCGGGGCCACGTCACTCCGGACTCGGCACCACCAGCTCCCCAGCACCCCGACGGACCGCCCTGCACCCCTCCGGGCTGTGTGACCCCGATCGAGCGGACCCCTTTCCCTGGGCCTCTCCTGGGGCCTGAGCGACGAGACAGAGTGGGGACAAGGTTGGGACAGCGTGTGAGGCAGGGGCTCGGCCGGCGGGGTCCCCCCCCACGCTGGAATGCGGCATTGGGATGTAGCCCCTGGTTCTCGGAGCTCCCTCACTCCAGCAGCCTGTCTGGCTCAGCGAGTGACACCCACACATCAGGATCCATCTGTCCCCAGGCACTGGGGACGACCCCGCAAGGGAGGGGTGGGGCAGCAGGAGGGGAGCCTTGCTGGGGTCCCCCACTGTGAGCCTGGCCAGGGGGTCCCCGGGACACTGCACGCGGCTCCTGTCCCCTCCCCGGGGTCTCGGGGGAGGCTGTCTGCCCAGCTGGCCGCACCACCAGCCAGCAGGAGCCACCGTCACAGTCGCCAGCCCACAGGCTGCGTGTGGGAGGAGACGGCTGGCGGGAAAATGACAGGTGTGAGCGGGAAGTGGGGTGTGCATGCCTCGGGGTGCTGTCCAGGCTCTGTCTCCGAGGGTGCTGACTCCCCGCCACCTGGGACTGGGCAAGATCAAAGGCCGAGATTCCCGAGACTTTTCGAATGGGGCGGAGATGGGCTCAGCGGATGCAGCGTGGGCAGGGCAGGCGCAGGCCCTGGGTTCCATCCCCAGCGCCCGTCATCAGGCTCTGGGGAGGTGGAGGCAGAAGAATCAGGAGTTCAAAGTCTCCAATATATAGTGAAGTAGTAGCTAGCCTGGGCTACATGAGATCTTATCTCAAAAATAAAAGAAAACAAACCTCTAAGGATATAGGCAAAATTGTCACCTCGGTGTGTCCCCTCCCTCCCTCTCTCCCTCCCTCCCTCCCTCCTTCCTCCCTTCCTTCCTTTATTGATAGGGTCTCTGTACCCCAGGCTAGCCTCACACTTGCTATGTAGCTGAGGATGACCTTGAACTCCTGCTTCCTTCCGGTTCTGAGATGGGAGTCACAGTACCACCTCACCCGCTTTATCCCATTCGTCCTGTGTATCCCCATATGGCTTCAAACTCTTCGTCCCCCTGTCTCAGTTTCTGGAATCAGACTGTGGGACTCACAGCTGGTCTGACCGCTCTCCCTTGTCCCTGTTGGTTTGGCACACAGTAGGCGCCCACTAAGTGCTCACTAGTCCATCAAATGGGGTTTCTGTCCAGAATGAGCCCATGCAGCGGGTGGGAATTAATTCAAACTCAGGACCACAGGACCCACCACATCCCTCACTCCAGAGACATGCCTGCGTCCTCCCATCCTCTCCTAGCCTGGGTCCCAGGTCACTGTCACCGTGTCCTCAGAGGTCCTGGGGTGTCAGTGGCTTCCCAGGGGAGATTGAGGAGGGCTGCATGTGAGGACCCCCGCCTCGGTGAAGCCTGGGTCCTGTTCCGCTCCTGGGTCTCAGGAGGCACAAGGAAAGGAACCTGTGTGCGCGTTGTCCCGATGGGTGACATCACCAGGAGGGCTGCTGCTGGCCTCATCTTCCCACCTCATCGAGATGTGCAAACAGCAGGGCAGACTGATAAAGGGGTCACCCAGAGGCCCCACACTGCTCAGAATCTGGGGCAACAAACATTAGCTAATGCTTGGCATTGGTGCCGGGGCAGCCTGAGGAGAGTCTCAGGCTGAGAGTCTCGCCGTGATGGCGTCCCTCCAGCAGGTAAGGAAAGTGAGTCCAGAGACCATGTTCACTGAGCTGCACAGCCTCCGGCAGAGACCAGGCAGGCTAGGTCTGCCCGGAGCAAGCCTGCATCCCAGTGTGCATACCGCAGCCTCACCTCCTTCTCGCCCAGTCAAGCCAAGTCCTCTCCGCAGTCCACAAACCCTGCCCGCCTCCCTCTCCCGCTCGGTCCCATCACCAGGACTTGTCCTGTTCCCCGACTGTCCTGTGCCCTCTGCCCCAGGGCCTTTCACACGCATGCTGGTCCCTGTGCCTGCAACACTAGTCCCTCAAAAGATGGTCATAGACATCTTTTCATTTTGTCTGGCATTGAGGAAGGAGCTGTGTGGTGTGGGGGGTGGGGTGGGGTGGGGGGGAAATCTTGTCTGACCTATTGGGTGTAGGTCATGCAGAATTCTTCCTTCACCAGGCCTCAGTTTCCCCCTCTTCAAAGTAGGTAACCTTTCTCAAATGTCTGTCGCGGTTTCAAAGGTCAGTCAGTGAATATTTTGG